ACGCGCGCGCTCCGTGCACAGCGCCCAACCGGTTTTGGTGCGGCTGCGGCTCACACGAATGTGGAATTGGATACTTGCACGCACACAAGGCAAAATGTGGTACATATGTTGGCAACAACAAAAACAACAACAACGGCGCGCGAAACTTTGATTGATATCGAAATGTCACGCAGACGCGCATGTGGCTAATAGGGCCTGCGGTTCTAGCCATTTGCTATTCGTTTGCCGTTAACCATTTGCTATGCGAATTGATTTTGGCTCAATGAATTAGCCACATTTGTTGGCGCGAAATTGTTGTGTGAAAAATTATATGGGGCTCAGCTCGCAGCTGCCTCCTCAAATTAGACATTTATTTTTTAAATGAGCACATGTGCACACGTTCGTACAAGTATGTGTGTAATTCTAAATATATTTTTAAATTCATGCGACGCTTTCGGACTTAGACAGGCGGGTGACAAATGTCGTCATTTTATTTGGCTTGTGCATCTAATGGGTATTCCTGATTTAGGAATAAAAAAAAACCGCACAATTAATTGGTTTACGGACTATTAAAATGTAAATACAATTTTATTAAAGTATCAAATTTTTTCTGGATCTGGAAAGTCTTTTCCTATGAGTGGTATTGCTATCATGAAAAAGCTTCTTATCAAAACACTACTTACTTCCCTTTCGTAAAAAATGTAAAACTTTGGACCCCCCTTTGTCTTACTAAAAAAAAGGTAAAAAGCTCCAAATTCATTTAATATTTACTTAAGTAAATAATTTAGTTTTAAAAAATTAAAAGCATATATAGGAATATTGATATCGATAACAGTATCGGCGAATGTATATAAAAGAATGTATCGAAATAGAGAAGAAAGAGGAGACTGACTTCCTAGCAGAAACCGGAGTAAGCTCACTACCGGTGAAACCAGGCCAGTGATTTGGAACGCATTTCCGACAGACCATGTCAAATTTGGTTTGTAGACAAACAGTCTCAGTGTTGTACAATTTTTTGGACCATTTACCTGCGATGACTAAAAAAATATTCCACAGACCTGGCGTGAAGGCGGAAAACTGATTCGAACTTGATTTCAGTCACCGTAAAAATAGGCTGTGTATTGATTTTTTTGACAGCATCAAAGTACGCCTTGACAAATAAAAACTATAGACCAGTCACTAGCAGAGTAAAACTAACTAACCTGACAATTTCTAGTACTGGGCCTCGGTGGCCTAGATTTTAAAAAAATTTATTATTTTTTATTTAGAGAACTACTCCAATTAGAATACGCTTGACAGATCAGAAATAGGTTCTATCTTATATTAACTATGCTCTTTGGTATTTTCCAACTTTCTGTCGGCCTACTCAAATTGACTTGTTTATGTGGTTGCATGGGCTAATAACAGTAATCAAAAACGACACGCGGCAGTCGTTGATTCAAACAATCTCTTAATGGTATTCAACGGAAAACAACCACCAACTTCTTCGAACTATGGCCCGGAGAATAACTGCTTAGCTATGCCTGCGTACCTCTGGCGTTGATCTCCTACTTACGCAGACTTAATCCCGACTTTTCATATTTAAAATGTTGCCTACATAATTTTATTCGTAAAAAAAAAAGTATTAAAAATTACTCAACTTTTAGTTGGTCACTTTCAAAAATTTAAATTTTTTGTATTTATCATTCAACTTTTTGCCATTGGAGTTACAGAATGACATTAAAAGCCAATTCAGTCAGTCCCTTGCACTCTGCCACTCATAACTCCCACACACTAAAGAGCAATCCATAAAAGGCATCCAGCTGCTGGCACAATGCGCAAATATAAATAAAGTGTCATGGCGACGAGAACGAAAGAATACATCAAAACAACAAGCACCTGCTGAGCGGCGCGACCGCCCGCCGTTGCCCATGCGCCTGTGCTGGTCTGAGATGTGGCAAGTGTTGCATCAACTCCGCTTCCATAACGCCTAATCCAGTGCAGTGCGCGCTGTGCAGGCGCGGCGCTTAGCGGCAGGTATGCGCGCCAAATATAATGTTGGCTAATAAAGTCATGAATTACGTACATACATATGTATATCGGGCGCGGCTGTGAAACGAAAAGACGCTGCGCTCCAAGTAACGAGGTCCGCCGATTGACCGACTATGAGCGCCACTACCAAGCTGGCCACAACGCCCGCGTTTCCCCCCATTAGGATTCATAAATAAGCGAATGTGTTGTGAAGCGACAGCAATAATGGGACATCCAGCCGGTGCGCGCAATGCGGGACCACTTCGAGCGCGCAACGCGATGAGGTATTAGCCTGAATGCGACCAGAAAATTGGTCCCGCTGGCACGTCTGAGTTATGTTGACGCTATTTTTGGGCGCATTAACCCATTAACGCTTCGCAACTGCTGCACTGAGGCGCCGTTGTGCAGAGCAACGTTTTCTTTTTTACATTACTTCAGCACAGCAATAGTTCTTACAATTGAACCAATAAACCAGTCAAAGTATTTAATTTGCAACATTTCTCTTTAATATTTGCACTTTACTTTATACGCTTTTCGTATTTTTTTTCCTTTCGTTGCAGTTATGGCGCCAGTTATGATTTAGCATCGCGGCGGAAGAATGCAACGCGTGAGTCCACAGCGACGTTAAAGGCCTGGCTTAGCGAGCACAAGAAGAATCCGTACCCAACCAAAGGCGAGAAGATCATGCTGGCCATTATCACCAAAATGACGCTGACGCAGGTGTCCACGTGGTTTGCGAATGCGCGCCGCCGCCTAAAGAAGGAGAACAAAATGACTTGGGAGCCAAAGAACCGCACCGAGGACGAGGATGAGGACGCGCTTGCGTCGGATGACGAGAAGCAACGCCATGTGGAGGATGGCTGCGTGGAGCGAAGGCGGCATATCGGCGTGGAATACGCAGGCGGCGCCATAAGCGTTTCGATCGGTAACAATGTACCAGTGGCAACCAATGCAACGGCAGTGGCGGCGGCGACGCCCAGAGCAGGTGTCGTGGATAGTGGCGCGAGTAGTGTGGGCGCAACAAATGCGGCTGCGGCGGCAACAGCGTCGGCGGCGGCGGCGAACCACCATCCGCATGTCGGCGTGGCAGTCACAGGCGCGAGTGTGGGCGCAGTCGGTGCAGTGCAGTCGGCGAAAGGTAAGCAAAAACAAACGCAGCCAGACAAAGCAGAGCAAAGGAGCATCACGAAAACGCGTTGGCTTAAATCTCGCTTGCCATTGTTTGGCATTGGCGCGTGGGTGGCATAATTGAATGCCTGCGCGAATGTACATCGTGTGAGTGTGTCTGTGTCTGTTCTTTGTAAGCTTTAGTACTTCACTTGTTCATCGCAGGCGCATTTCAATGCAGGCAATTGTTCTTTTACTTACGTCTTTTGGCGACTCTATTGTTTTGTTGAAAGTTTTGTGTGCGCGCCAAATGTTGCTTCTGTGGCGGCTGTGGCTACTGATTTTGCTATTATTGTTGTTGTAGCCTCTTTGGTGGTTGGCAACTGCTGGGAATGAACTGGTTTGTGTTTTGATTTTTTTTTTTTTTGTATTTAGTACTTTACTGTATACATATCTGAGGCGCCACATACCACTGCTATACAATTTTTGACGCGTATTCACTTTAGATTGCTTTGTTTGAAGAAATTAAAAGTATTGAGTTATTTATGAGGTTGGATACGATCTCCTTTTGGAGGTACCAAAAATACTGAATATATTAAATATTAAAAGTTAGAGGTTTGTTTTTAAACTACAACTGACTATTTCAGTATAAAGAATGAAGTTCTGGGGTTAAAATCGTATCTCTAACAAAAATACACTAAGAAACGCCATTACATAACTCAAGCTCGACTATAAACGATTCCAAGAACACCACTGCAGAACAAGTTACCAAACACAGCTAACAAAGCTCGTGTAAGTGAATATAGTCCGAGCATAAGTCCAGAATTTGCAAGCAAACGAGTACGCAGTATCTCCAAAAATATCCACTGTGGGATTTTCCAAGGCGAAGAAGCGTTCCGCGTCGGCCTTCAAGGCACATTTGGATGAAAACAAAAGCATCAATGCACAGTGGTTCCACTTGTATGGAGCAACGGTCAAAAAGCGTTTTCGCTGAAAGTTAATAAGATTTCGCAATGGAACATGTTTCTGGGTAGGGTGGTAATGAAAATGGGTTATTTGGTTCAAAATTGCGGATGCCTATAATACAACGGTATTTTTGGAAAATGCAAAAACCGCGAAATTTAAGTAACTACTGCAGCCAAATTGATAAAACTATATTTAGTTATAATGAAATATATGCAACCGCTTAACCGACTTCAGCTGAAGTTAAAATAATGAAAATGATTTTAAGGAAAAATTCGCATTAGCAAACTATCGTACTAACTTAAAATCACTTCAATTATTCCAAAAGATAGATCACATAATTTTTGACAATATACATTTACATTTTTGTTAACACCCACATTAGGGTGGTCCTTAAAAATCACAAGAATGATTTTTGTCAGGCTCACTCCCTCAATCGGTAACACCACGGCCACAGATATCACATATAAATTTTGGTCCCGATTGGAGACGGTTAAGGCGTGTCGCACAGGGGCAAAGTTCAGATTCTTCTATAGAGACTCAAAAAACTAAAATTAATTATCTTTTCCATTTAATACCCAGAATCGATACTACTAAAGTCGAAGATCTATTGTAGTCGATTAAGACGTCTTCGTGGGATAATCTTAAATTTGACCCCTGTGCGCCAGGCCTTAACCGACTCCAATCAGGGCCAAAATTTATATGTGATATCTTCGACTATAATAGCATCGACGTAGGAGTTGAAGCTTAGGAAATCTGATGTACAAATTTGATTCCTACATTTAAGGACCACCCTAACCTACATACATACACATATGTTGGTTTCATATCGTTTTTGCGTTATTCAATATGCACTTCACGTCAATGATAATCTCACCACAAGAATAGATTTTTATACCCGAGCGCACTTGTGCACAAGGGTATATTAATTTTGTTCACATAACGGTTGTTTGTAACAGCCAAAACGAATCGAGATAGATATAGACAAATGTATACATAAATGATCAGGATGAAAAAAGAAATCGATTAAGCCATGTCTGTCTGTCCGTCCGTCCGTGTACACGATAACTCGAGCAAAAATTGAGATATCTCAACGAAATTTGGTATGTAGGTTTCCCTTAATCCAAGGTAGGTTGGTATTGGAAATGGGCGAAATCGGACTGTAACCACGCCCACTTCCCATATAACGGTAATTTCCAGAAATACGAAAACTGCGATATTTTAGTAACTACTGAAGATAATTCACTCAAAATTGATATTTACAATAATTTTTAGACGAAAAATAAGAATATTATAAATTTTTGGAAAATGGGCGTAGCCACGCCCACTTATGGTTACATGTGTATATCTTAGGAGCCGCTGCACCAATTTCTTCCAAACTTGGCACAGTTGTTGGCCTTGGTACAGCATACAAAATCGTCGAAAATTTTTAAAATTGGACGATAACCACGCCCACATCCCATATAACGGTAATTTAGAGAAATACAAAATCTTCGATAAATCAGTAAATATTGAAGCTAATTTATTCAAAATTGATGCTTACAACAATTCTTTACCAAGAAATACGTTTATGGTAAAATTTTGGAAAATGGGCGGGGCACCGCCCACTTATGATCACATATATGTATATCGGTAACCGTTCTACCAATTTGTACCAAACTCGGTGTGGTTATTGTGCTTGCCACATGAAAGCAAAGAGTTGAAAATTATTGAAGTCGGACTAAAATAACGGCCGCTTCTCATATAACGGTAAATTTCAGAAATGCTTTAAACTTCAATATTTCGAAATTGAAGGACGCTAATTGACTCAAAATTGATACACCCCGGCTTACCATCTAGCGGAAGGTTTCGGAAAGGTGAAAAAACATATATTTAATGTTTGCGCCAGGTATTTAATGTTCGGCTCCGCCCGAACTTAGACTTTCTTACTTGTTTAAAGCTAGTTTTGAAGATTATGGTTGTAAAGAGACGAACAGAGCTTATTGAAATTAAGAAGAACAATAGCAAAAATTGTGCATTTTGACAGTTGATATTGAATAATTTTTCTTCTGCTGTCGCAAGTCAGCGGCAATCACCAAAGCAACAGCTGAAATATGTATGTATGTGAATTTTAAGCTCAAATGCACATTTACGGCTGATGTGCGTTTGTATGGCAATAATTCATGAGTTAATGCAAATAAAATCTCTTAATGCAAATAAGCGTCTGTCCACCATTTACGGCCGGAATCAAACCAAAACAACTACATATTGAAAAGCTTATTCTTTTATGAAATAGTAGTAGGTGTTTTGGTTTAAATTTTTTTACTTTGCAACCACTGTGCATCGGCAATACAGCGACGAATTTCCGTTTTAAACGCGAGCGTTTCACTAACGCCCTCGCCACTAAATGACTTTAATAAATAAGCATTTACGTGTGTGTGTGTGTACTTAGCTATCTTTATACATATGTATATGTAAGTATGAGCAGTTAATTCGTAAAATGTCAGCGACCTCATCACCAAACTTTGAACTTCAAATGCATAGAAAGGCGATAAGTGAATCGAAAAGTGAGTGACTCAATCACTGGCAGACTGGTTGAGTGAATGCTTGCTTCTCTAAACAGTAGCTAATACTGTTTGCATTGTTTGTTGCCACTGACTGAGGAGCGACCGCATACACTCGCACATACTCGTCGAACATCGTGTAGAACGGTAAAAGGGCGCATTAGATTTATGCCGGTCGACGTGAGTTGCATACGATTATGAGCAGTAAAAAAAAGCAGAATGAGTCAAACAAAAAAGCCGGGCGAGTGCTCACTCACCACTGGGGTTGCATAAGAAATAAGCGAATAAGACGACAATAAAGCTAAAGCAATCGGGCAGGCAGAGCAGCGCAGCGCGGGTGCGGGGGAGCAGAGCGAAACCATGGGGAATACCGATGGATATTTGGTCGGTTAACCGAAAAACGTAGCCGCCAGACACGCGTCGCATAAAAGCCGTAGCCGCAA